CGCGGGCGGTGGGCAGCGGCGACGCCCGACAGTGAGCGGCCGTCCGGCAACACCGCTGTGCCTCTGGATCCGCGGTCGGGGCGTCCGCCGGCGCCCAGTCCCGTGGCCTCTCGGGTCACTGCCCCTTGGCGCTGCCCCTGGGCCCCGAACACCACATGCTCTCCCGCCTGCTGTGTTGCGGGGTGTTGGGGCGCCCCGCGCCTCCAGCCTGGTTACTGTCACTCCTCTTCACACAGCTCCGCTGGCCCCTCACAGCTGAGCGCCTTGACCCCCGGCAGAGCCCGGAGGACGCGTGGGGGGGGAGCCCCGCAGGGTCAGCGAGAGCGAAGGCAAACGCAGGAACTGGCCGTCGGGGCCTGCTGCAGCCCCGTCAGGCACCGGCCACAGCCGCGGTGGGGGAGACTCGGGGGGGTGATGTCCGGCCAGGTGGCCAAGGGGCTGCTGTTTTCTCTAACCCGCCACAGCGCTCTAGGCTTCTGCGCTGTCCCTCTCAGGACGAGCCCCGGGGCCACACTGGCGGGGTGTGCTGTGTCCAGCTGGCACCCTGGCGGTTTGGGGCGTTCGGCGCTGGCCAGTCTGGGCTCGGATGGGAGCTTGGTCCTGAAGGCCCGCAGCCCCGGCCCTTTCTTCCATCCCTTGTGATTCGTTTGTGTTTTCTGGAGTGACCAGCCCATTCTCGGGGGACATTTTGTAAAAAAAATAAAACAGCTCAGTTCAGTGTCCCCAAAGGCCAGTCCCGTCATAAAGTTGGAGGGGTCAGCGCCTTGCACCTCAGAGGCCACTTATGAAACCATCAGGCCCGGAAGGGGGCTCGCGGCCACGCCCGGCCTGGGCAGCGGGCACCGCTGGGGCCTGTCCAGCGCTGCCGCGTCCAGCCGTGCCCCCGGGGCAGCTCGGCGGCCAGGCTCACCTGCTGTCCCCCCAGGAGCCGCTGCGCTGGCAGCTGGCAAGGGAACAGCCGCGGGCGCAGGAGAGCGCGTGGGCTAAGATGTGGGGGTGCGACGGGTCACTGCGCTCCGAGCCCGCAGCCGAGCCCATCCCGGCCAGGCAGGGCCCCCGCTGCCCCCCAACACTGACCTTGGGCCGTCGGCCTGTCCTGCTCCCGCTGTGCCTCTGGTGAGTCCTCTCACCCTGCACCCCTGCACCTCCGGCCTGCACCCCAGTTCTGTGTGCGTAAATAAGACTTTTTAAGTCATGGCTGTACGTGGCGGACACACGGCCACGGGGGGTCGCGCTTGGCGTCTGTGCCACGCACGGAGCGGGGGTGCGGCCAGGAGGCGGGGTCTCGCTTCCACACAGACCACGTTCAAACCCTCCAGTCACGCTGCAGAACTGGGGTTACCAGAGGGGACAGGGTCCCTGTGGTGGAGGATTAGGGGCTCC